CTTCATCTCTATAATAAATCAAAAAATTAGCCGGGCATGGTAGTGCGCGCCTGTCGTTCCAGCTACTCGGAAGGCTGAGGCAGAAGGATCGCCGGAGCCCAGCAGGTCGAGGCTGCGGTGGCCGGGAGTGGCCAGTGCACTCCAGTCTGAGTGACAGAGTGAGACTCCAAATCAAAAAGATAGTAATAATAATAATAATTTCTTTTTTTTTTTTGAGTTGGAGCTCACTTTGTCGCTCAGGCTGAAGGGCAGTGGCAAACTCACAGCCACCCCAGCGTCGTGCTGCTGGGCTCAGGCGATCCTTCCACCTCAGACTTCCAAGTAGCTGGAACTACAGGCGCGTGCCACCATGCCCAGCTAATTTTTTGATTTATTGTAGAGATGGGGTCTCACCGAGTTGCCCAGATGGGTCTCAAACCCATGGGCTCAGGCAGTCCTCTCACCTTGGCCTCCCAAAGTGCTGGGATTATAGTCGTGAACCACCGTGCCTGGCCTCAACACATTTCTTGAAAGAAAGGCTCTACTGCTGGGTTGAGAACCTCACAGCACTTCCTCTTTCTCCTTTGAGGTGCTGATCATCACTGTAATTTAAATAATTCATTGTGTAATGGTCTAATGTCTGTCTCTTCCACTTGTCAGGAAATCCCAAGAAAGCAGGAACCAGGTTTGTCTCCTTCCTTGCTAAATCTCCAGGGCATGTTATATATTAGACGCACAACATCTGTTCAATGCACAGATACCAAGGAAGCTGTTAAAGATGCAATTTTCTTTTTTTTGAAGTTGTAGTCTCACTCTGTCACCCAGGCTGGAGTGCCGTGGCACGCTCATGGCCACCGCAGCCTCAACCTGCTGGGCTTAGGCGATCCTTCCACCTCAGCCTTCCAAGTAGCTGGAACTACAGGCGCACACCACCACACCCAGTCAATTTTTTTTATTTATTGTAGAGACGAGGTCTCGCCATGTTTCCAAGTCTGGTCTCGAACCCATGGGCTCTGGTAATTCTCTCACCTCGGCCTCCCAAAATGCTGGGATTGCAGGCATGAGCCACAGCACCTGGCCTCCTCTAGAAGATTCTAAGGCACAAAAAAGTTTATGACTACTCCAATCCACCTGCCCTAGAGCTAGAATGCTTGGAACCTGCTGGAGGACACTCACCTGGCTCCTTTTTCTTTGTTTTCGAGTTAGTCTCACTCTGTTGCCCAGACTAGAGTGACTCAATGAAACCTTGACCTCATGGGCTCAGGGAGTCCTCCCACCTCAGCCTCCCAAGTAGCTGGGACTACAGGCACATGCCACCACGCCTGGTTAATTTTTTGATTTTTTGTAGAGATGAGGTCTCACTATGCTGCCCAGGCTGGTGTCAAATTCCTGGGCTCAAGCAATCCTCCCTCCTTGGCCTCCCAAAGTGCTGGAATTACAGGTGTGAGCCACTACACCCAGCCCTGATTTCTTTTTCTAGTCACTCAGCAGTCCTTAAACCAAGCATGGCTTCGAAAGACAAACAAAATTAAATTGAGTTACCAGCAACCTTCCACAAACTCCACCCTGGGTAGATGTGGCTAGGTCTTAAATTGCAGGCTGCAGAAGTCTAAAACAATTTCCTTAGATTCAGTCTGGAGCCAAGTGTTTTCCATTGCATGTGCACAATGAATTGAACGTGATTTTTTAATAATGTAGGTTGAGAGACTGGGTATGGTGGCTCACACCTATGATCCCAGCACTTTGGGAGGTTGAGGTGAGAGGATTGCCTGAGCTCACGGGTCCAAGACCAGCCTGGGCAACTTGGCAAGATCTCATCTCTACAGTAAATTAAAAAATTAGTTGGGCATGGTGGCGCACACCTGTGGTTCCAGTTACTTGGAAGGCTGAGGGGAAGGATCACCTGAGCCCAGCAGATGAAGGCTGTGGTGGCTGTCAGCGTGCCACTGCACTTCTGTACTTCTGTCTGGCTGACAGAGTGAGACTCCAACTCAAAAAAAAAAAGTGCAGGTTGAAGACACAAGCAGTTTGGAAACAAAAGAACTCTAGGCCAGGCTTGGTGTTTCAGCCTGTAATCCCAGCACTTTGGGAGGCCGAGGCAAGTCGATTGCCTGAGCCCGCGGGTTCGAGACCATCCAGGGCAACTTGGCAAGACCTTGTCTCTACGATAAAATAACAAAAAATTAGCTGGGCATACCTGTGCACACCTGTAGTTCTAGCTACTTTGAAGACTGAGATGGAAGAATTGCCGGAGCCCAGCAGGTTGACACTGGAGTGGCCGTAAGTGTGCCACTGCACTCCAGCCTGGAAAACAGTGACTCCAACTTAAAAAAAAAAACAAGCCGGGCTTGGTGGCTCAGCCTGTAATCCCGCGCCTTTGGGAGGCTGAGGTGAGTGGATTGCCTGAGCCCGTGGGTTTGAGACCCGCCTGGGCAATGAGACCTTATCTCTACAATAAATCAAAAAATCAGCCAGGCGTGGTTGCGCATGCCTGTAATTCCGGCTACTGGGAAGGCTGAGGCGTAAGGATCGCCGGAGCCCAGCAGGTCGAGGCTGCGGTGGCCGGGAGCAGCCACTGCACTCCAGTCTGGGCAACAGAGTGAGACTCCAACTCAAAAAATACAAAAAACAAACTCTGGAATCAGACTGACAAAAGTTCAAATTCTCCCTCAGTTGTATGCCTTTGGGCAAATTTCTGAGTACTAAACAGCTCACTGGTGCTAGGCACTAGGTACTCATTCCACTGCATAGATGAGGAAATTGAGAAAGAAGAATTGAAGTAACTTGTTCTTGATCAGACAGATATTACATGTCAGGGCTGGAATTTGAACCTAGGTCTGTCTGCCAAACTGGTATTCCACATTGCCTAGATTTTCATTTGAGCTTCCATTTCTATATCTGTAAAATGAGAACACCACTCGTTGTCTCATAGGGTCGCTGATTGGGGGATTTCATTTTAAAAGATTTGACAATAGGCACACTCAATAAATGCTACCTGGAAAGGAAAGTAAATCTTTAGCCCTATGAATGAGGAAACTTGCAGTGAAATTAATCAAGCTCCCCAGAGATAACAAATGGCCAAATCAGGACCAGAATCCAAGCTGTATATAATGTTTCTCTCACACTCTCTCAAATGACTCCAGAAGGAAAAGCAAGTACACAGGAATCCTGCAGAAATGAAGAGGTACCTCAAAGGATAAGGCAACACGGAGCCAATCAGGGGAGGCTTCCTGTAGGAGACCCAGTTTTTATTTCATGACAGCAGTGTTTAGAGGAAGTCGGAGGTCAGCAGGAGAGGTCTTAGCTCTAAGTCATGATGTGGTATACCTGATAAGCTTACTAGTTCCTGGTGCCCAGAGAAGTTAACAAGCTTGACCAAGGTCACACAGTCATAAGTGGAGTTGGTTCTTTCTTTTTGGTGCTGGGGAGGAAAGGATGAGTACAGGTAATAATGCGGTGGGGTGGGAGACACAAGGAGGGGGTTCCTGCAGATTCTCAAATAGCCTGTCTCTGTCCCAAGGGAAGTCTCATAGTAGAGAAGACAATGAGGTACAGTGCCAAAGACTCAGTGTCCAGCAGACCCCAGGGGAGTCCTGGTTCCCCCGACTAGCTATGGGGCCTCAGCAGTGTGGCTTCCGGAGCCTTCTCTTGCAAGGTGGTTGCAGATTCAGAGAAATCATCTCCAAATTTCCAGCCCAGGGCCAGGCTCAGTCAGAAAAATAACATGGTCATTATTATTCCACAATGCCAGGCCAGCGGCAGAGGGGTGGTAGGGCGAGACACCCAAGGGACAGGAGCAGACATTCAACGCCAACAACTCCAACCCTGCAATCACTGGCACAAGCGCTTGGCAGGGCAGGGGCCATCAGGTCAGGTCCATGATGCAATCACAGCTCCCTATTTGTGCTGTGAGGTGAACCATGACCCTCAGGAAATGGAAAAAAACAGCCATTAGCAAGGAGTACAAAACAAAACCTCAGTGAATGTTTATTTCTCATCATATGGAACTGGTAGCAAAGCCAAAGATTTCTGTACTTGAACACTGGATACCCCTCCCCACCCACCCATGGGACACTTGCAGAGTCATCACGAACCCTCTAGAACCCGAGCTCCTGCACACCTTCTTTGCAGGGAGGGCTTTCAGGCCCGAAGGGGGTGCCGGTTGCTTCTCCGTGCCTGCACGGGTATGCGAGGTGGCACACTGAGCAGGCTCCTCTCCTGCCCGCTCCAGAGAGGGTCAGAGGCAGCAGCATCATGGCCCTTGCCTTTCTTTAGCTGCCTCCAAACTGCTCAGAGAAGAGGCACAGACTGCTAGAAGAAAGGCAAGAGAAGTCAGAATTCACAGTTGTTTGCTACAGAAAGTGCCAGGCTCAGTCCTTGGTTGCTTCTCCCTCCAACAATCAGCTTAAAATCCAGGAGAGGAGACAGATGAGATATTGGGATGGGGGTGGGGTCCTTGGAAGGCACCCAGGAGAGATGGGCTGCGGGAGTAGGGGTCCCCAGAAGCCTTCAAGATCGTGCAAAAAAACCAGTTTGCTGTTGGCAGGTTGGCCTGAGAATCCCAGGGTGCAGCATCAGACACGGTGGAGACTCAGACTCGCCCCTCAGTCTGCAGCCGTGGCAGTCAAAGAGGTTTGGCAACGTAGCCAGGATCACCTGCCCAGTGGCAAGGCCCCAACAAGAACCCTGGTGTCTCCTGTCTCCCATACCGGGCCACGGTGCTACCTAAGGCACCTAGAAAGGCTCAACTTTGTGGCAAACGTCTGCGGCCCTGCCACTGGAGGCAGGAGAGGGGGGTGAGGGCCTCTGCAGGGCAGGTGCAGCTCTGGGGAGAGCAGAAGCCTCCCTCTCTCCCTCTCCTCTCACACTGCCTGTGGTTCCGAGGGCGAGGCCCTCAAGGGGTCTGAACCTCAACCCCAAAGGACTGAAATAAAGAGAATTTACACACTAATACTTTCTCCTCTCCAGAATGCAGTCACCAACAAAGGCCCAAGCTCTCTAGTGCTAATCTGCTTTTTGACGTGCTTGGCCTCTCCTGAGGCCTCGCGCAACCAGGAAGGGAGAAAGGGTAAGAAGGCAGAGGAGGTAACAAACTGAAGAGGATCCAGGCAGCCAGGGCACAAGGGGACTTCAGGCTGCCCGGCAAAGCAGGCTTTTGGGGAACTGGACACACAGACCAGCTGTGACCCTGACTTTCACATTGACGGGTGAATGGCAGGTGGGAGGTAATGAAATCTGGGAATGAGGGGGAGGGAAGGCAGAGTTGCCTGGAGTGTCAGTCCCTAGAGGCAATTGCCCCTCTCCCTCAGGGGCCAGCCAGGGACCTCCCAGTCCAGGAAAGCCACAGCACTTGTGGCACAAAGTCTGAACTTAGCCCATTTTCCTTCCTATGCCCTCTGCCTCTGGGGGCAGGGGAAGGAGGAAGGGCGTGGCCCCTTGGGATTTCCTAGTCCTCTTCCAGCTCCCAGGGGCAGAGCTGAGATCCCAGAGTCAGTGCAATGATCCTGTCCATTCCGGTGAGAAAAAGGAGGGTGTAGCTTGGGGGCTGCACATCACGCACAAGCCCACCCTCAGAGTGGGGCGGGTGGCTGTGGGACACAAAAGGGTTTGGGTCCATCTCCAGTCAGAGAAGTCCTTGCGGAGAAGAGGATGCCCCGGGGTCAGTTGCTCCAGGCTTAGGTCCTGCGGGGTGGGAGTCAGGTCATGTGGCGGGTGATGGCACGGAGCGCGTAGAGCAGAGCGGCTTGCATGCGGGCTTCCAGGAGCAGCAAGTTCACATGGACCTGGGTGCAGATGAGGGCGTGTTGGCAACTCACATCACTCTTCGCTCTCCACTCATCTCCCAGACTACCACGATCCCTGACCACTTACGTCACCCTCCTCTGTCCTGTAAAGATGCCCTGCCCTTTGCTAAGGCTCTGAGCAGTTTGCTACAAGGACTGTTGGAGAAATTCAGGCACATTCATCTACCATGATTAATCTCTTTACACCTCAAAGCTAAAAACAAGAGCTACCACTAACTGAGCACCTATTTGGAATCACAAGTCTACATGCATTTTCTCATTGTGTCTTAACGACCTTGAAATACAGCAGCATTTAGCCTCATTATAAACATAAAAACTCAGAGGTAAAGTTACTTGCCCAAAGTCACACTGCTACTGAGTGACAGCGCTGGGATTTCAGCTCAGGTCTACCAAGCTACTGCTAAGGACACCGTGTGAAGCAGGCACCTATATTCCCATTTTATAGATGAGTAAATGGAATCTGAAATTATATAATGGAGTAGGATTTGAACACAGGACAATACACTCAGGTGTCCCTACTGGCAGGACAGACTCAGTCTAGGCTCTCTCACTGGGTCCTGATCCCTTCCCCCTCCCTGGCTGGGCTTGCCTACTTCCCTCCTGCTCCCCCTGCATGGGTCGCACCTTCTCTGAGTGACGGAAGTGCCTCCAGAAGAGGTTGTACATTCTTCGGGTGGTCTTCTCTGGGTAGCAGGCCACTGTCTTGATGTAGATCTTGAGGTTCCGCTCCAGGAGCTGGTTCACCTCCCCATAATCGTAGTCATCGTATCTGGAGGGGAAGGTCCCAGTGGCATTACTCACCCTCTGCTCCCAGGAGTAGCTCTTCTCCCCCACCCCCAGACTACAGAAGGAAGAACCAGGACTTGAGAGAAAAGTCAGAAGGTAGGAAGCAACAAGAAGTCTAGTTCCTCTTAGCAAAAGAGCTGATATATATCACAAGCCACAAGATTCACAGGGGGCCACTCCAAGGAACACACAAGAACGAGCAAACTGTGTTGAGTAGCCATGATGTGCCATGTGGACATATGCTCATGAAATTCTCAAAACGAATATAAACTACTATATATACAACTACTGTATACAATATACTCTATTCATCAACCTCATTTTATAGATGAGAAAACAGATTCAGAGAAATGAAGTCACTTCCCCTAGGTAATGCAGTAAGGACTGGGTTTCAAACCTGGCTCCAAGGTCACATTCACGATTCTATGCTAAAGACCATGGAAGTTGCTTGGTGCAGTGGCTCACACCTATAATCCCAACACTCTGGGAGGTGGAGGCAAGAGGACTGCCTAAGCTCACAGGTTCGAGACTAGCCTGAGCAACATGGTGAGACCTCATCTCTACGACAAAAATAAAAAATTTTTTAAAAATTAGCCAGGCGTGGTGGTGCATGCCTGTGGCTCCAGCTACTTGGAAGGCTGAGATGGAAGGATCGTCTGAGCCCAGGAAGTCAAGGCTACCATGGCCATAAGCATGCCACTGCACTCCAGCCTGGGTGATAGAATAAAGCTCCAACTCAAAAAAAAAAAAAGACCATGAGAGGTAGGGGAGGAGGTCAGGGCATATTTACCCAGGAGAAGGAAGGGAGTCAGAGTAAAGGAGGTGCCCATTCTATAGATAGGCAAATGAAGGCCTGAAGAGGGCAATTAACTTGTGCAAAGGCAAGTTGGTGACAAGTCTAGAAGCCATGTGGTCAATCCCAGGTCCAGTGAGCTAGGGCAGCCAATGTCATCACAGATACGTGTGGATAGGAAAGACGGGTTGGAAACTGGAGGACAGATTTAGTAGACAAAGATCCAGGAACAAGGCTGAGGTGGAGGATCGCCTGAGACCAGCAGGTTGAGGCAGCGGTGGCTGTGAAGTGCCACTACACTCAGCCTGGGTGGCAAGAGTGAGATTCCAACTCAAAACAAACAAATGAACAAAAAGATCCAGGAACAAGGACTATGTGGGAGACTGGAGAAGCCTAGACCTGAAGGCTGGGCAGGAAGTAGCCTGAGTTACATCCTAAGATGTCTGTCCTTGGCCACGCCTGAGTTGGAAACCTAGCAATGTCCAGGAAGAGGATGGTCAGTTAAGTATAGTTCAACCCACTCAGTAAAATATGAGTTACAGCTAGTAACACTCAGGAACACAAATTTTCTACAAGAAACATAAACCTTTTTAAAAATTTGGGAATAAATTTTTGGTACTTGGTATAAACTGTTACATGAGAAAAGCAAAAAAAAATCTTGTGTTCACTAAATATGCTCATATTTGAGTAAATGAACAAAATAAGTAAAATGAAGGCCAGGCGCAGTGGCTCACACCTGTAATCCCAGCACTTTGGGAGGACAAGGTGGGAGGATTTATCGAGCCTAAGAGTTTGAGACCAGCCAAGGCAACACAGTAAGACCCCCATCTCTACAAAAATAAAAATAAATTAGCTGGGTGTGGTAGTGTACACCTGTAATCCCAGTTACTAGGGAGGCTGAGATGGAAGGATCCCCTGAACCCAGGAGGTGGAGGCTGTGGTAAGCTGTGATTGTGCTACTGCACTCCAGCCTGGTCAACAAAGTGAGATCCTGAGTTAAACAAACAAACAAGCAACTACATGAGAAAGAAAAAAGCAATACAGAAAACATCGCAGGAGGTGGACATGGCTGAACTGGAGAAGTAGAATTTGGGGAAATTGGGTTTTTTTTCCTCTTAATTCTTTGAATTTCCCACAATATTTTCAAAGTAAGTTTTTTTTTAGTGAAAATTTAATTGTTCTATGCATATTCTTGACAAGTAATTTCACATTGAGGATTTATCTGCAAGGTCTTATATATAAGACTAGTTAGCCGGGCTCAGTGGTTCAGCCTGTAATTCCAGCACTTTGGGAGGCCAAGGTGAGTGGATTTCCTATGCCCGCAGGTTCGAGACCAGCCCAGGGAACTTGGTGAGACCTCATTGCTACAATAAATCAAAAATTAGCTGGGCGTGGTAGCATATGCCTGTAGTTCCGGCTACTTGGAAGGCTGGGCAGAAGGATTACCGGAGCCCAGCAGGTCACTGCTGGGGTGGCCGTGAGCATGCCACTGCACTCCAGCCTGGGCAAAAGAGTAAGACGCCAACTCCAAAAAAAAAAAAACTAGTTAGAGAACATGGTGTTTGTAGTAGTAAAAAACTGCAAACAACCTAAATATCCAATAATTGGGAAATGATTGAATGATTTATAATACGTCATGGAAACAGAATGCCATGCAGTGGGTTAAAAAGCACGTGAGATTGTCAGGCCCGGTGGCTCATGCCCATAATCCCAGCACTTTGGGAGGTGGAGGTAAGAGGATTGCCTGAGCCCCCATAGGTTCGAGACTAGCCTGGGCAACTTGTCGAGACCTCATCTCTACAATAAATCAAAAAATTAGCTGGGAGTGGTGGCACGCACCTGTGGTTCCAGCTACTTGGAAGGTTAAGATGGAAGGATCACCTGAGCCCAGTAAGTGGAGGCTGTGGTAGCCATGAGCATGCCACTGCACTCCAGCCTGGGCAACAGAGTGAGACTCTGATTAAAAAAAAAAAACCCAAAAAACCCAAAAAACCAAAAACAAATGAGATCTATTCGTATTAATAAGAAAGGTGGTTCACTCTAGATTATTAGATGAAAAAGTAAAATTTGTAGACCATGTGTCAAATATCCCATCAATTAAAAAAAACTACTGAAAAACAAAATCAAAAGATTTAACAAATAAGATGAAAATGTAATTCATACTATACTATGCAGAGACAACTATTATTAAATGATGTCTTAGCGTACAGCCTTCCACACATTTTCCATACATGCACAAGCATTTTTTTCTTTGAGTTGGAATCTCACTCTGTTGCCCAGATGAGGTCTCTCCATGTTGCTCAGGCTGGTCTTGAACCCCCGAGTCAGACAATCCTCTCACCCACCTCCCAAAGTGCTGGGATTAGAGGCGTGAGCCACTACGCCCGGTCTTACCTGTACTATTTTTGAAAGCAAATTTATTTCTTTGCTGATTTTAAAAGATAGAAATATTCATTGTTTGAACCATGTAAATGAAACTCTTTAATTCCACGCCCAGATAACCATGGTTTTATATGCATGTATCAGAGAAAGATAGGTATGTTTGTATTTCTATTCCAAGTAGAAGTTCTTCTCTCAATACATAGAGACAACATAAATGTTCATCAATAGGAGACTTTACTTTATTTTTTGAGTTGGGGGGTCTCACTCTGTCACCCAAGCTAGAGTGCAGTGGCACGATCACAACTCAGTGCAAACTCCAACTCCTGGGCTCAAATGATATCCTGCCTCAGCCTCCCGAGTAGCGGGTACTACAGGTGCATGCCACCATGCCTGGCTAATTTTTGTATTTTTTGTTGAGATAAGGTCTCACTATGTTGCCTAAACTGGTCAGGAGTTCCTGGCCTTGAGCAATCTTCCTGCCTCGGCCTCCCAAAGTGAGGGAGAGTGAGACTTCGACTCAAAAAACAAAATGAAAAATAGTACAGCTAAGAAGAAAGGAAAATAATAAAAAAAGCAAAGAAAATTAAACTGTGAGCCCAGAGTGAAGACTTGTAGTGCACACATGCCCCAGGTGAAGGGACTTGGGCTCACCTGATGCCGAAGACACAGTGGATGTAGTTCCAGATGGCCCTGCGGAGCATGGAGGTATCCACACCACTGTGCATGGCGATGGTATTGTAGGTGAGGCTGTAGGCTGCCTGGAACTTCTCATCCAGCAGTTGCCCACCCTCGGGGTAGAGACGCTGGATCAGCGAGTAGCCATGGTCTTCCCAGGTATAATCCTTAAGAATGTGGGAAGGGATTGGTGAATGAGTCTTGGGAGCCCTCAGCCACTAGAGAGACCCCATTCTGGTCCCCTGGAGCACACCTTGGCTCTCCATACTGCTCCTGCCCTGTGCCACAGATGGAATGTATGGCTTGCTCTGGGCTTGAGAAACCAAGGATGAGCACCTTTTCCCTGTGGCCAGTACCCCCCAACTCAGGTGCAGATGGGTCCCTTTAGGAATCACAGGGCCCTCGTGGAATCTTGAAGGAGACAGGTGCCCAACTCTGTAACCCCTCAAGCCATCCACCTTCTGCTTGTTCCTAAACCTGAAGCAATGGCCAGGATGAGTGGGGAAGCCTTACCTGGGCCCGGAAGGTAGGGGGTGCCTGAGTCCCTCGTCGAGTGAAGTCTTCATATCCGAAACTGGGGTCTTCCACAAAGCACAGCATGTCTGGGTGTGGAGAGGGCTCCAGGATATCAGCTGGGAACAAGAAAGAGGTCACAGTGAGACTGATGCATGGAACACACAGGGCTCCAATCCTGATTAATCATCAAAAGGGGGCAGGGGAAGGTGGAGGGAGGGCCAAAGAAAACCCTGGCTCCAGTGAGTGGCAGCAAGACTTCAGCAGAAGCCAGGCCTGGGGGAGAGGGTGAATGAAGCCCATGGACACAGGAGGCAAGGCCCCCAGGAACGACAGGAGCAGCAGTTATTTACAGAGTCTTTATGGAGCGGCTTACCCAGGCTAGGTTCTGTGCCCATTTGCCCTGTACACCAATCCCAAAGCCTTGAGACAAGACGTGATGTGACAGTGGTCACACAGTCAGAAAGGCTAACAGGCCAGGATTCAAAGCAGGTCTGACCCCAAAGCCCCTGCTCAGAACCTCTCGGAAGGGAGCTTGAGAGGTGGCTGCCTCTGGAGTGCAGGAAGTGCAGTGCGTGGAGGCGGCTACTCCCCACCAGAGACAGAGTCAGAAGGAGCAGCCTCCGGACCCTGGATGTCTGAGACCCTGTACCTGAGGGGGTCACCAGCAGGCTCTCTGACTTTTCCAGCTCAAAGCGGCTCTCCATCTCTTCCTGGGATGCTCCCTCATCCCGCAGAAGGCTCTCCTGCAGCTGCCTCATGCGTTCCATTAGAGCCTCGACGTCACGGGCTGCCTCAAAACCCTGGAAGAGGCCCAGTGGTGATCATCTCCTTCTCCTCCTCCTTCTCCCTTGGCTTCTGGGGAACTCTATTCTCCCTTCCCACACGCTAGGCCTTCCTGAATGATCATACAGGCCTACTGCATCCTGCGTGCCAGCCACTATGCTGAGCAGCTCATGTGGTCTGTGGCTTCCCAAAGGGAAGTTTATGAAAGCTACAGAATAGGCCAGGTGCAGTGGCTCATGCCTATAATCCCAGCACTTTGGGAGACTGAGGTGAGAGGATTGTCTGAGCCCTTGGGTTCGAGATCAGCCTGGGCAACTTGGCAAGACCTCATCTCTACAATAAATAAATAAATAAATAATTTTTCAAAAGAAAGCAACAGAATAGACATGTGTCTTCTGTGAGTACCAACTTCCCTCACAGGTAAGGAATTTTTAAAGTATCTGTACTTTTGTATTAAAACAAACGAGGCTGGGCACAGTAGCTCATGCCTATAATTGCAGAGCTTTGGTAGATGGAGGCGAGAGGATTGTCTGAGCCTAGGAGTTCAAGACCAACCTGAGCAACACAGTGAGATCTCACCCAACAAAAATAAAAAAATTAGCTGCGTGTGATGGTATGTGCCTGTAGTCTCAGCTACTTGGAGGCTGAGGCGGAAGGATCACCTGCAACCAAAAGATTGAGGCTAGAGTGAGCTGTGACTGTGCCATTTGTGACGGCCACCACAGCCTTGATCTGTTGGGCTCAGGAGATCTTTCCACCTCAGTTTTTCAAGTAGTTGGAACTATAGGTAAGTGTTACCATACCTGGCTTATTTTTTGATTTATTGTAGAGACGAGGTCTCACCAAGTTGCCCAGGTTGGTCTCGAACCCCTGAGCTCAGGCAATCCTCTCGCCTTGGCCTCCCAAAGTGCTGGGATTACAGGTTTGCGCCACTGTGCCTGGCCTGATTTTTTTATTTTTTATTTTTGAGTTGGAGTCTCACTCTCTGATCCAGGCTAGAAAGCAGTGACACACTGACAGTCACTGCATCCTCCACCTGTGGGGCTCAGATGATCCTTCTGCGTCAGCCTTTCAAGTAGTTTGAGCTATAGGTAGGTACCACCATGTCCAGCTGATTTTTTTTTTATTTACTGTAGAGAGAAAATCTCACCATTTGGCTCGGACTCTTCTTGAACCCACGGGCTCAGGCAATGCTTTCGCCTCCATCTCCCAAATGCTGAGATTCCAAGTGTGAGCCAATGCACCAGGCGTAACTTAATTTACCTTTTGGAGTTGGAGTCTCACTCTGTCACCCAGGCTGAAGTGCAGTGTTATGATCACAATGATCATGGCTCATGACAGCCCCTGACCTCCTGGGCTCAGGCGATCCTTCCACCCCAGCATTCTAAAACTTTGTATTTCAAAATGCTAAAACCCAGCACTTTGAGCCCATGGAGCTATACACTGAAAGGTATGTCACACAGTATTCTATTTAATCTTAGAAGCCACTGTGAGTAGGGGTCTTTATTCTCATTTTGCAGACAAGGAAACTGAACCTCAAAGTCTAACAACTTTTCAATGGTCTCTTAGCATGAGAAGATAGAGAAGCAGTGGCTTCCACCCAAGGACCAGAGGCCAGGCCAACTTCCCGCCCCACCAACACCCAGGCCCATGACTTACCCCGGAATTGTTCAACGGGTCCCTGCTGGGTGGGCTGCTTTGCTCGCTGGGGGGCGAAGGTGCCTGGGGGGCAGGGCTGCCCTCCGCGTCCCCCTCAGGGAGGATGCCACAGCCAAACACGAAGGAGGCCAGCGAGTGGCAGTGGGTGAGCAGAACCAAGGCTTGAATGAGTTCGGCCAGAGACCAGCTGTGCTCGCCCGTCTTCAGCAAGGCCTGGCGGGGAGGGAGGGCCACACCTGCTCAGCACCAGCGCTGGGCTGTCTGCCAAGCCCCAGCCCGGGCCCTGGACTCCCTCGGGGACCCATCCCTCTGCCCACTGCACCTGGATGTGCTCCTTGGTGATGAGCCATGGCCGATGTGCCAGCAACTTGTTGATCTCGCTGAGTTTGCGCAGCTTCTTGGGGGCCCGGTGAAGGCCCAGCAGCCACTCAGGGTCACCACCAGTTTGCAGAAACTCGGCCATGTGGGAGCCCACCAGGTAAGAACACTGGTGGCGGGCGGCAGCCTGGGAAGGTGGTGGACAGAACTTGGATCACCCTCCTCTTTCTGGCTCAGGGAAAGGGATCAAATAACTTTTCAGTGGCATCTCAGTGTGAGGAGACAGGGAGCAGGGCTTCTACCCAAGGACAAGTGTACCAGGCCCGCAGAAGGAAATATCACAGGACTCGCTTGCCTAAGAGGCAGGAAATCTAAGGTCTAACACCAGCTCAGTCACCAGCTTGTGGGTCACCTGACCCCTCTGTGCCTCAATTTTCCAATCTGTGAAGTAGGCACTAAAGACGCCAGTCTTCAAATGTATAAATTCTGTAAATGGTCAGAGAAAGCCAGGGCTTTTCTCTGCTCTGTGCCACCCTCCCTCCTTATCTAGGAAATTCACTCAGAAAGTCCCAGCAGAGATTCAAGGGCAGAACCCCCAAGAGGATACCCCTACAGGTGTCAGGCTCACCATGATGGCAATATAGTGGCACCAGGAGCTGGCCAAGGGCCCATCTGTGTGCAGCAGCAAGTAGTGCAGTCGCCAGAAGCTGTTAAAGTAGTCGGGGTGCAGGCCCATCACCACTGCCAGGTTGTCCACCCGCCCGGAGGACATCAGGGCCTCCAGTCCCAGGTGCTGCTCAAGGCTCTCAGCCCCTTCCCGAAGGACCTGCCAGGCAAAGAGGAAAGCATGGATTCCCCCCCGCCCTCCCTACCAATGTGTTCTTTGTGGTAGGTCTTTAATAGAAAGAAACTCAAACAATCACCATGTCCAAAGGCAGAATAGGGGGGAAGATTTTTTTTTTTTTGAGCTGGAGTCTCACTGTTGCCCAGGATGGAGTGCAGTGGCATGCTCAAGGCCACAGCAGCCTCTACCTGCTGGGCTCAGGTGATCCTTCTGCCTCAGTCTTTCAAGTAACTGAAAACATAGGCGTGTGCCACCACGCCCAGCTAATTTTTTAATTTATTGCAGAGACAAGGTCTCGCTATGTTGCCCAGGCTCATCTCAAACCCCTGAGCTCAGGCAATTCTCTCGCCTCTGCCTTCCAAAATGCTGGGATTATAGGCATGAGCCATGTTCCCTGGCTGGGAGGAAAATATATTAATAAGTGAATCAACAAAAACATATTAGGCACCTTACATAGCAATAGCCAATACTTATATGAGTAACACTATGTGCCAAGCACTGTTCAAACATTTTATATCTAGTAACTCATTTTATCCTCATGATTATAAAACTGGAGTTCTATTTTTTTCCATTTTTAGATAAGAAAGCTCAGACACAGAGGTTTAAAGTATGGTTTCTTCTCCCTTCACAGAGCTTCTATTTTCACACTGCAAATGCATACAACCATGGGGTGGTTGCACAACAATCTACCTTTCCCAAGTACTTTCTCCATGACATGTCTGAGCTTGGAGCTGTCCCTGCATTATCACATTGAATCTTTGCAATAATCCTGTGAGGCAAATATTTTTATTTTTCCCCCTTTGACAGATGAGGAAACAAGAAAGGTTTTGTTCTAGCTCAAGGTCATAGGTCTGGTATGTGACAGAACCAGGATTCAAATCCAGATTAACTCCAAAGCCTATTTCTTTCCTTTATTAGACAAGAGTGTTTATTTATAACTGAAAAAATAAAACACAAGAGCAATACTTGAGTTTAGAATTCTGGGCTACAGACATAAATAATCAGCAAGTGGCTGTTCACCTGACATTTACAAGAAGTGGAGGAACAGGGGATTTAGATGCTTGTAAGATCATTAGCCATGTGCCCTACACATTTACAAGAGCAAAAAGGACAGGAAACTATTTAAAATTTTTTGTGTGTATGTTTTGAAGGTACGCCATAAATCCCACACACTAGAATGTAAGCTCCATGATGGAAGACTTTTGTCTTTCTCATTTGAGACTATAACCCTGGAACAGTGCCTGACAGGTGAATCATTCAATAGACATGTTAAACAAATGAATGAATGAACTAGCAGAAGAAAGATGTCTCTGTTGAACTGTTAAGTGAAAAAGTAAGCCAGGCTTGGTGGCTCAGCCTGTAATCCTGTGTCTTTGGAAGGCCGAGGTAGATGGATTGCCTGAGCCCATGGGTTCGAGACCCGCCTGGGCAGGCGAGACCTCATCTCTACAATAAGTCAAAAAATTAGCCGGGCGTGGTAGCGCATGCCTGTAATTCCAGCTACTCAGAAGGCTGAGGCGGAAGGATCGCCGGAGCCCAGCAGGTCGAGGCTGCGGTGGCCGGGAGCGGCCACTACACTCCCGTCTGGGCGACAGAGTGAGACTCCAACTCAAAAAAAAAAAAAAATTAAAACAAAACAAAAAAACTTATTTTCTGTACTGAAAATAAGTATCTGTATGAAAAAAAGTCCAAGGTTGGGCACGTTGGTTCAAGCCTGTAATCTGAGCACTTTAGGAAGCCAAAGCAGGAGAATTGCTTGAGCCCAGGAGTTCAAGATCAGCCTGGGCAACATAGTGAGACATCTCTACAAAAAAATCAAGAAATTAGCCAGGTGTGATGGCATGTGTCTGTAGTCCCAGCTACTCAGAAGACTGAGGTGGGAGGATTTCTTGAGCCCAGGAGTTCAAGGCTGTAGTGATCATGTCACTATACTCCAGTCCAGGCCACAAAGTGAGACTCCAACAACAAAAAGGAAAAGAAAAAAAAAGGTCCAGAAAACAGTGGCAAATCATTACCAGTGAACATCTCTGCAGGAAGTGGATTACAGATCAGAGCTTTCTGAAACACTGGACATTTTAAAAAATAAAGAACATATATTACTTTTGAACCAGAAAAAAGTGCAATATGTGTACAATCAGGGATAAGAAGAAAAACATAGATTGTTTTATCTTATGAAGAAAAAATAGGAATTGATTTGGGAATCAAAAGTTTGGCTGTTACCTGGCTGCTATCTGCACAGTATCTCTGAGCCTGTGTCTTCCCAGTAAAATAGGTTGACAGTGCCTGCTTCATTGAGCTATTTTGTGAGTTAAATCAATCAAGAACCAGAAGGGTAGTTTCAAAGCTGCAATGTAAGGGACTGGAAGAGACCTCCACCCACCAACGCCCCATGTCCTTTCTTCTCAGGGACAAGATTCCTAACTCCCTCCCAAGCTTACCTCCTCCACTGGGATGAAGGCACTGGGCCCTCGAGGGCCTCGACGAGCCCGGCTCTCCCTCTGCTCCTGGGAGGAAATGTCATCAGGTTAGTTGGTGGTAAAAGGGAGAATAAAGAGTACCGTTATCTATCTACCTCCTCCTGCTACCTGAGGGACTATATGTTGAGCTTTTAAGACCATCTGGGAGGGCGGGCACATAACATCAATAAGGGTACCCACACTTTATCTGTACGATGACCACGTATGTACCTAACCCCAAATTGTACCCCACATTTTTTTTTTGGAGTTGGAGTCTTACTCTGTCACCCAGACTGGAGTGCAGTGGCCGCTCTCAGCCACCGCAGCCTCGACTTACTGGGCTCCGGCAATCCTTCCATCTCAGCCTTCCAAGTAATTGGAACTACAGGCGCACACTACCACGCCCGGCTAGTTTTTGATTTATTGTAGAGATGAGGTCTCACCAAGTTGCCCAGGCGGGTCTCGAACCCGCGGGGTCAGGCAATCCACTCACCTCGGCTTCCCAAAGCATGGGATTACAGGCTGAGCCACCGAGCCCAGCCAACATTTTTAAAATTAAAAAAAAAAGACCACCTTTCTGGCACAACCTGTGTGGAGGAGGCAGGTAGGAGACAGACAACTGTTTGCAAGAAAGAGGGCTCACCCCAGGCCGAGTTCTTCAGGAACTGGGCAGGGACTTAGGAGCTGGAGAAGGGAAATATACAGCCACCAAGACACACATCTCTAGGAGGCCACCTTCTTAGTAGTCCCAGGGAACTCATCCATGAACTCCCCCATGGTTTGTATCCTGAAGCTAGGTAACAAAAGACCCCGGATGCCTAGAGGCAGATTTAGTCACTCTCAAATGATCATTTTTTATCCTCCCACTTCCACCTCATCTACTACCACCCATAGCCTCCCCAATTGTCCACCCACCTCCATAGCCCTGCCCTCTCCTATCCATCCTCTACTAGTAGCCACATTCACTTTTTGAAATGTAAATCTGGCCAGTGCCCGTGGCTCACAACTGTAATCATAGCTTGAGCCCAGGGATTTGAGAGCAAAGCAGCTCAGGCAAAATAGTGAGATCTTGCCTCTACAAAACAACAACAATAACAACAGAAAAAACTACACACCAAAAAATTAGCTGGACATGGGGGTGTGTACCTGTAGTCCCAGCTACTCAGGAGGCTGAGGCAGAAGGATCGCCTGAGCCCAGGAGGTCGAGGCTATGGTGAGCTATGATTGTGTCACTGAACTCCAGCCTGAGCAATGGAGTGAGACCCTGACTCAAAGACAACAATGCCGGACACAACGGCTCATGCCTATAATCCCAGAAATTTGGGAGGCTGAGGTGAGAGGATTGCCTGAGCTCATGGGTTCCAGACTATCCTGGGTAACCTGGCAAGACCTCATTTCTACAATAAATAAAAAAATTAGCCGGCCAGGCATGGTGGCTCAAGCCTGTAATTCCAGCACTTTGGGAGGCTAAGGCGAACGGATTGCCTGAGCCCGTGGGTTCAAGACCAGCCTGGGCAACTTGGCAAGACCTCATCTCTGCACTAAATAAAAAATTAACTGGACGTGGTAGCATACACCTGTAGTTCTGATTACTTGGAAGGCTGAGGCAGAAGGCTCGCTGGAGCCCAGCAGGTTGATGCTGGGGTGGCCATGAGTGTGCCACTGTACTCTAGCCTGGGTAACGGAGTGAGACTCCAACTCAAAAAAAAAAAAAAAAAATAGCCGGGTGTGGTGGCGCATGCCTGTGGTTCCAGTTACTTGGAAGACTGAGACGGAAGATCACCTGAGCCCAGTAGGTCGAGGCTGCGGTGGCTGTGAGCATGCCACTGCATTCCAGCCTGGACGACTGAGTGAGATTCCAACTAAAAAAACCAAAAATACAAAAAAATAACAACAACAACCAAAAAAACCAAAACAAAACTCCATACCTTCCTCTCTCATGGCCTTCCAGATTAATTACTGGTCCTGTCCCACTCCCCCGCCCCCCACCGGCCACTCCTTCTGCAGAGCTTTTAGTAGCCCTTCAGGGTTTAGGAAGCTTTTTCTGACCCTCATCTGTGACCCCAGTTTCCAGTGCTTTCACTTCTAAAAACACTGTCTTCTCATTGTTTTAAGTTTCCCTACTGCCAGATCACATTTTGTGGAGAGCCGGGCCAGGTCATTCATACTAGTCTATGAATGAAAATAGAGAAAGCAGAGAGGCGTGAAGTGAATCAGAGCAGGGTGTACTTTCAGAGCAGGGATACAAGGCTGATGGCAGTGGCTATTCTGACATGTGGATATTTGAGCCTCTTTAGAACCCACCAGAATCATGTACTCACTAAATCTCCTTCTCCTAGTCCTAGAAATGGGGTTCAGGAAGAGTGTTTTACTTATTCACTTATTTTGTTAATTTGAGAGGGGGGCTCTTAGTACTGACCTCAGATAGACAGACCCGTGCCCTCATTGGATGGAACAGCGAGCCCCTCCAATTCTCCCTCCCCATTAAGATCCAGGCTTAGTACCAGCCTCCAAGTATTCAGGACTCAAAACTATCATTGAACCTTCCTTCTCAGGTGGCCAAAAGCCATCTGAGGGAGGCAGAGTTCTGGGGCTCTGGGGCTCTGAGAAACTACAAAGGAAAGAGCTCTGGAAACTGGAAGTCTAAGGGGTGAGGACAGATTCTACTACTACCTTGCTGTGTAGCTCTGGGGAAGTTGCGTAGACTCCCTGTGCCTTACTCCTGGACAAAGAAGGTAGTTGAGGGGACTGCTCAGGTTTCTTTCAGCCCACACTTCTGGGAGCCACCAGGCCAGGCTGGTCTACGTTCAGCATAGTAACCACCACAATCCCCAAGCACTCCCTTTTCAGCTTCCCTCCTCCCTCACCAAAGAGAAAAAGGCCAACAGCTCTGTCTGAGAGATAAGGATTGCTGACTCTACAAACTGGGCCTCCACCTCAGGGGACCTGAGAACAGATAGAAAACCAAAGCAGGGTAGGGCGGTGCAGAACCAGGAGAGGCAGGGAAGGCCCACCAGAAATACTAGGGAAGGACAGAACAGCCCAGGGAAACCCAGGTCACTCCAAAATCGGACCCAGAAGCTGTCAAAGGAAGAGCTGATGCCTGTATATGGTGAGTCTGGAGCCATCAACATGTCCAGTAATAATAATAGGGAGGAGCGCAGTTAGAATATAGGGAGTTTCAGGCCATGCACAGTGGCTCAAGTCTGTAATCCCAGCACTTTGGGAGGCTGAGGCAAGAGGACTGCCTGAGCTCAGGGGTTCAAGACCGGCCTGGGCAACTTGGTGAGACCTCGAATCTACAATAAATCAAAAAAATTAGCCAGGTACACGCCTGTAGTTCCAGCTACTTGGAATGCTGAGGAGGAAGATCACCTGAACCCAGCAGGTCGAAGCTGTGTGTGCCATTGCACTCCAGCCTGGGCGACAGAGTGAGACTCCAACTCAAAAATAAACATAGCCGGGCTCGGTGGCTCAGCCTGTAATCCCGCACCTTTGGGAGGCTGAGGTGAGTGGATAGCCCGCGGGTTTGAGACCTGCCTGGGCAGCGAGACCTCAACTCTACAATAAAAATAAAAAAATCAGCCAGGTGTGGTAGTGCATGCCTGTAATTCCGGCTACTTGGAAGGCTGAGGTGGAAGGATCGCTGGAGCCCAGCAGGTCGAGGCTGAGGTGGGCGGGAGCGGTCACTGCACTCCAGTCTGGGCGACAGAGTGAGACTCCAACTCAAAAAAAAAAAAAGAAAATAGGGACTCTTGACACAAACTGCCTGGGTTCAGATGACAGCCTCGGTTTCCTTGCCAAGTAATGGGAATAAGCACCTACTTTCACTGGAGGTCCTGAGGATTTAATGAGACAACACTGTATAGCTTACCTCCATACCTCCGCCACAGTAAACACTTAATAAAGGTTAGTTATCATTATCCTCATTGTTATTTCAAACAAGGGCTTCTCGACCCAAGCAGTACATTAGAATCCCTCTGAGCTTTTTTAAAAATACCAATGCCAAGGTCACACCTCCAGCAATTCCTATTTAATTGTCTGGGGCGAGGCACCAACACAACATATGTCCAAGGTGAAGACCTTTTTATATTTTTATCTTTATTTTTTTTTTAGTTGGAGTCTCACTCCATTACCCAGGCTGGAGTGCGGTGGCACGCTCACGGCCACACCAGTGTTGACCTGCTGGGCTCAGGCGATCCTTCCACCTCGGCCTTCCAAGTAGTCAGAACTACAGGCACGTGCTACCATGTCTGGCTAATTTTTTTACTTATTGTAGAGAAAAGGTCTTGCCAAGTTGCCCAGGCTATTCTTGAATCCGTGGGCTCCGGCAGTCCCCACACCTCAGCCTCCCAAAGTGCTGGGATTACAGGCTTGAGCCACCACACCCAGCCGAAGATCATTGTTTATACCACTTATTGATCACTTTCTCAAGTATGAGGCACTGTGCTAAGTGCTTTCCAGGTAGAAACAGAATTAACTTGCTCACTTGACAAATATTTTTGATGACTATGTCACAACCACGAAGAATACAGCAGTGAAAAGACAAAGCCTCGGCCTTTACATAATTCAGGATTTAATGGAGAAAGACAAATGATGAATAGAATTTATTTTATTTTATTTTTGAGTTGGAATCTTACTCTGTCACCCAGGCTGGAGTGCAATGGCACCCTCACAACCACTGCAGCCTCAACCTGCTGGGCTCAGGTGAGCCTTCCACCTCAGCCTTCCAAGAAGCTGGAACCACAGGCATGTGCCACTACGTTCAGCAAATTTTTTGATTTATTGTAGAGATGAAGTCTCACCATGTTGCTCAGGCTGGTCTCAAACCCATGAGCTCAGGCAATTCTCTCGCCTCCACCTACCACACTGCTGAGATTACAGGCATGAGCCAAGAGATGAACAGAATTTCAAGCATAGATTCTATAAAATGAGTGAAGTAATGCAATGAACGTATGATGGGGTGGGAGAGTGTGCAGTATTTTAGTGTGAAAAGTCACTGAGGAGGTGGCCTCTGAGTTAATCTCTAAATAAGAAGGCAGTAGTGCCT